CCCCCCTCCAAAAAAAAAAACACCGAGCCTCCTGAAGCCCCGAACCCAAAAAATCCTCAAGGAAGTCGCAGAGCTAGCCCCTAGGAACCCTTATTATACTTGTGGTATAATTTTCCGCCCAAAGCCTATTCTAATTATGAAGGCTCCTATCCTGAGGCCCTTATAATGCCCCTTGCAGAACTTCTTGAAGTAACTTCTCGGAACCATTACATAAACACTATTTCTGATTGTTAAGACCCCCCCCCCAATATTTGGTGCTTTGATGGCCTCCAAAGCCTTGGTCGCCGCAGAGCAAAAGAGACCCTCTCCGCAGGCGGAGACCGTGTGCCTCTCTCTCTCTGGGCTTTAATTTGAGGCATAATGTCGGGGCCTGCATAATTAAAAGTATAGTTAGAATAAGGAAGTCCCAAAAGCTTCCTTTTTGAGGTTGCTTCCAGGGTTCTCTATTTGGGGCTCCTTGAAAGGGTACTTTTGGGGCTTCGGGTTCCTTGAAGGGCAACCCTGGAAGGAACCCTTTTGCAGGAACCCTTAAGGGTTCTACTTTGAGGTTCCTTTAAGGGTTCTACTTTGGGGGTTCCTTTCAGGATGCTATACCCTAAACCCGAAACCGTGACTCCATTAAGGATGCTGTACCCTAAACCCGAAACCGTGCCTCCTTTAAGGATGCTATACCCCCCAAAAACTCTAGACCCTAACGCGTTTAAGGATGCACCCTAAACCCTAAACCCTAAACCCTAAACCCTAAACCCTAAACCCTACTTTCGGGCCTCTAAGGCCTCAGGATTTTCAGAGCCCCTAAACCCTAAACCCTGGGCTCAGGATGGCCGGGTATTCGGGCTTTGGGGGATCCGGCCTTTCAGTTTAGGGTTTAGGGTTTAGGGTTTAGGGTTTAGGGTTTAGGGTTTAGGGTTTAGGGTTTAGGGTTTAGGGCGTTTTTTTTTTGAGAGCTCTTTTCCATCCCGCGGCACGTCAGGAATACCAGGGTTTCGCGTTTGGGGTTTTGGGCTTGAGCATAGTTGGGGCTTTAGGAGTTAGGCTTACTCGTAGGGTATAGGTTTAGGCTTACTTTGGGGTTTAGGATTACTTTAGTGGTTAGGCAAAGTTTCGGGTTTAGATTTAATGAAGGGTTTAAGGTTACTTTAGGGTTTAAGTATCGTGTAGGGTTTAGGTTATTTTAGCTTTTAGGTTTGTTGAAGGGTCTAGTTTTACTTCAGGGTTTCAGTTTATTTTAGGGTTTGTGGTTGCCTCAGGCTTGATTTGCTTAGGTTTTTCGTTTAGTGGAGGGTTCAGCACTCACTATAGGGCAGGGTTGAGGCTTGGGGTTTAGGGGCTCGGGTTTTGGGACTTGACGGCTTCGATTCTCCTAGCCCCAAGCCGTCCAACCTTAGCCTTCCGCCTTGAATCCGCCACCCACGAGAAACCAAGACGACCTTCAGGGGGCTAACAAGATCACAAAAGCCATATGTCAGCAAGGCCATGAAACCATCGAAGACCTGCATGAAGCAGGTATTCAACAACAGGCCACAGTCCAAAACATGAAAATGGCGATTGCCGATGATGGATAAGGGGAGTAATCATACTGGCTACCTGAAGCCCTCTGCCCTCCCACACCCTAAACCCTAAACCCTAAACCCTGAACCCAAACCCTAAACCCCCCCTTCTTCTGCAGGGCACCCCTAACGTAACTAAGCCCTGAACCCTTTCAGCAGGGACTAGGAGCCGGCTAGTGCCCATCCTTAAGGCAGAGTTCACAGAAAAAGCTGAGAAAGCCTGAAACCCTGAACCCTGAACAGTAAGGTTTCGGATTTCGGGCTTAGGGTTTTTTTTCGGGGGCTCAGGGTCTACCCTAAACCCTGAACCCGAAAC